TCGTCAGTGCCACTTTCAGTTCAGTCTTCGCGATCTTTTCTTTCATTGACTATGACGGCAGACCAAAATCGGCGACAACTCCTTCCTGTTTCCCAAACTGCTGCAGGGAGAGCTGCATTGGATGATCCTGCACGGCCTTCGAGGTCTAGATCTCGTGCCCGTGAGGGTGAGGAACATCAAGGTGATTCTGATCCACAGCAGCAGCAACAACAAGCATCTCTGAGCATTGAGGAACAGCAAATCCGTGACATCAAATCTATGGTACAACGTGAGTTGTCTGAGCATCTATCTTATGATGCCGTGCAAAAGATCAAGAAGGTTTCCCTTGACCTATCGCAGAAAATATCATCTCTTCACAAACTCAAGCAGCGCATGCAGAAGAACGACGATGACTGCAAGTTGTTGGACGAAGGCCGTATTCCCAATGGTTGCAAACCTTTGAATTTTGCCTACGAGACCCCGCTTCTTGATTCTGTCCCATGCGACTTGATGGAGTGGCGTGTTGAGCTTGATACGAATTCTTCGGTGAGACTCGCCAAGAAACAGATCCACAGTGCATATTTGAAGGTCATGAAGCAGCTGGATGCCACTATCATGTCAAAACAACGGGATGCTCTTCGTGAAGAAACCAAGAAATCTTCGTTTACAAGGCGCATTTTGAGTTGCAAACCGGTAAATTCTGACCTCTTTGCGGAGCTTGATTTGGACTTTGAGGGCGAGGACTTTGGTACTAAAGGTATGCCCGATGATGTACTCCAGGCCAAAGCCGAAGTCATTTACACCCACACTGTTCAATCAGCAGCTTTGACCGTGCAGAAGAAGAAGGAGCTTGAATCCACAGCAGCTAAGTCTAAGGACAAAATCCTCAAGCAGCTCATGGAATCCGCACCTGCTGAGTTGCTGAACCAAGCCATTGACCAGCGCATTGATCAGGCTCTATCAAGTGCAAGCTCAAGCAAAGGCAAAGGCAAGGCAGATAACCGTCGAGATCATCGTAAAATTCATCCCAAAGGTATTTCTCGGACATATGATGCAAGTAAGGCTTTTGTGGTTTCGAGTGTGGAGCAAGATGCCGATGCTTTGAGATCGTGTCTTCATGAAACCACTTCGACATCAAAGGGCTCCAACAACAACGACGGGGGCAAAGGAAAAGGCAAGGGGAAGCATCACGGTGGCAAGGTTGGTTTGGACCCCAAGGTTGCCAATGTCATCCCGAACTCCGGTGGATATGCAAAATTTCGTTTCGCCAACAATATCCCCAAGGACAAGGGCAAGGGCAAGGGCAAGGGCAAATGGAAGGGCAAGTCACCCAACATGAAGGGCAAAGGCAAGGGCAAAAATCCACGAGCACCGGTAGGCAATGGAGGAAAACCAAAGGAGGAAAGCATGGAAAAAGCAAAGGCAAGGGCAAAAACTACAGCAAGACAGCAGCTATGAGGCCGTAATGCTTTTCAAAAAGATGATTATTGGTATGTCTGCAGCGGATCTACAGTGTCTTTTGCAGTGTGGCAAGGGGCTGGATGGTGTATACATGTACGATCCCATTGCTAAGACTGCCTTCGTTCCTGCCGCGTTTGAAATTCCCTGGCCGATTGAGTTTATCCTTCGCCATCATCAGAAGCATGTGTTTATGAATCGAAGGTTGCCCAGCATGGGTGAGGTTGGTAAAGCCTTGGATGTTTGGGCAAATTCGCTACGGTGGCGAGCCTTCT